AAGAAACCCTGTTCCATCCAGGCAGCCACTGCTTCTGATACTGGTTATCTCAGCACTGCCTCTAAATTACCATCTAAAAGATGCCACCATTGTCCTGAGTCACAAGATGCCACCTGTAATAGCCACAGTGTGCTCTTGACACATTCACACCTAATATATGCAGTATTCCCAAGACCTCACTTCTCCAGTCTCGGGGAGATTTCAATTTACATTCGTTGTTTTTAAAGAACAAGTGGCCTGTCACTTAAAACTGTCACTGAGAGGTGACATTTCAGCAATTACTCAGTAGTGACATTTTATTATTTACTATTAAAACACCATTAGAAACCCTGGAAATGGCAAGCTAAAGCTGAAGTGTGAAAATAAAACACCTGACACACCTGATTTGCAGTAATCAGAATAGCATGGTTGGTTTCTTTGTTTTTTCCAGATGAGAACTAATTGCCAATCTGGTATGATTTCAATCTGTTGCCATTTATGAAACAGGATCTGTTTGCTCTCTATAAAGATAATCCAGCCCACCACTCTGCAGCCAGACATCCAATTTCACCCATTCTCATGAGATTTGACTATTATGCAAATGAGTGGTAAAGCAATTACATGCTCGAAAAAAATTAAGACAAGAAATTTCCCACTCACAGACCTGTCATGTTCATTTCTTCACATGTAAATTCATACCAGATGTTTAAAGGCCTGTTTTCATTTCACATAAAGTCACCCAACCACCTGAGAGAGTCTTCCCTTTGAAAGCAACTGGATGTCCTGAATTTGATGAGCAAGTCCTCATGGGATCAATCCCAGGACCCCAATGGATGTTGCATAACGAATGAAGGTATTATGGAATAGAAGATAGATCTTCTGTGGGTTTTAAGGCTACTTAAGGATAGTGCTGGATCAAAGGTGACTTCAAATCTAAATATTCCAGGTGGAAACAGATGAAGTCTTAACAGAACAGAAGGGAAAGTAAAACAGAAATGGGAGTGTCTCAGTCCACTATGCCTCAAAAGATGCTATTGGAAACCCCATGAGGGGTAAGAAAGGTTGAAAGGACAGCTCTTAACACCACATAGAGGAGCTGCACTGGATTCCCCCCTCCCTCCAGCTTCCTACCAAGGAGAAAACTCAGGCCCAGGGATGCTCTGTGTCTTATGTTCATAGTGAATAGATCAGTGGTATGGCCTTCCTACTGCTCCCAACTGCCTCTCCCAGAGTAGAAAGAGGATAATCTCTCCTCTCTCTCTCTCTCTCTCCTCTCTCTCTCACTCTCTCTCTCTCTCTCTCTCTCTCTCTCTTTCTCCCCTCTCTCTCTCTTCTCTCTCTCCTCTCTCTCCTCTTCTCTCTCTCTCTCTCTCTCTCACACACACACCACAGAGTTACAGACAGAACAGACAGATTTATCTTCAAGTAAGTATAGCCACTTAAAATTTTTTTAAAGTGCTAAATACATCAGAGATTTTAGAATGCTTAAGATGAGAGAATTCATGGGCTGCAGAGATGGCTTGGGGGTTAAGAGCACCAGCTAGCTGTTCTTCCAGAGGTCATGAGTTCAATTCCCAGCAACCACATGGTGGCTCACAACCATCTGTAATGAGATCTGGTGCCCTCTTCTAGCCTGCAGGCATACGTGCAGACAGAACACTGTATACATAATAAATAAATAAATCTTTAAAAAAAAAGGCAGGGATTCAAGGGAGAAAATGAAGTTGTTTTCTGGTCTGTCCTGCTTGGGTCTTCTCTGAGGCTGTAGAGAAAGAGGGCCCTCACAGGCAGGTAAGAGAATGTGGAGAAGCACCTAACAAATATAATCCACTTCCAGTAGCCACGGGGGGGGGGGCAATCACATGTGCTGTGGCATCTGCAGAGAGCTTGGGCATGGTGAGTCCTAGTCGTGCCAGGTGTGAGGCATGGTTCTGTCCGGTATGATGGCACCTTGTTCAGTCTGCACACACCAAGCTGTCCCAAGGGTGTGCTCACAAGGTAGTGAATGGTACAGCCCTGTTCTGCCTCATTCCTCTGCATGCAGCTCTGTCACACATGGGCTTGGGTTCCACACATGAAAGCCAGGATTAACATGCTACCATGTCAATCAAGACTCCTTCAGAGAAAGATGATGAAGACTCAGAAAAGATGGGGACATCATAGAGGGAATCAAGGACACTTCACTTGGAGGTTTACAGGGAACCCCAATATTACTGTGATCATTTATTGCACCTGTCTGGTTAGATAGGTGATGATGGTATCCAGATATTTTCTCTACATACATATGGCCTACAGGCACTTTCTCTTAGATGGTATTAAAAACAACAGTAGTGCCAGGAATCAGCACAGTTTTTGGAGGCCTGAAGAGCAGACTCAGGTCCTTGCAGATCAAGAATTTTAGCTTCAAAGCACAACACAGACACTGTGCTGGTTTTGCAGCCTGCCAGCTTCCTCTACAGATTTTGGACTCGTCAGTCCCCACAATTGCATGAGCCAGTTACTTAAAATAAACCTGTGTGTGTGTGTGTGTGTGTGTGTGTGTGTGTGTGTGTGTGTGTGTGTCCTGCTTCTCGGAGAATACTAACACTGTTACCAAGCAGATTAAACAGCTCCTCCTCTGTATTGCAGAGCACAGAAGAAAGAAGCACTTGGCACAAGATCAGCTGCTCAGGAAAAATCAGAGAATTAAGAGTTTATGTGCTAAAAGCTTTGCACCACCTTTCGAAAGCTTAGCTGTATTTCCCACTAAGTCTTTTAATTGATTTGTGAGTATGAGGTGTGGTCTTTGGAAGTTCTGAGCCAAAGGAACCTTAGAGCCAGACACACTGGGGTTAGAATTTGGGCTCAGGCTCTCTAATGGATATGAGGACATAGGTAGAAGTGAACCTCTAGTGAAATTCCAGGTAAATGTAGCCATGAAAGGCCCAAAGATGTGACATATCCAGCTAAGAACCTAGAAAGAATGTCACCCACTTAGTAATAGCTCAAGGGTACAGTTATTGATTCAAAATCTATTTAAGCACCTTTCTCTCACTCCTTGGGGCAAAGTGTCACCTATCACAATCATTAGCATATTACCTGTCACTGAAGGATGGGGAAACATCCCAAGAAGTGTATTGTTAGGTGACTCCATCATTGTGTAAGCATCACTGAGGGTATTCTCACACCTGCTAAGGTGGCTAGGATGTCCAGAGGCTATGCAACCCTGTGGACCAGCAATGCGTATGTGTTATGTTGAAACAAAACATCCCTATGAGGTATGTGACTGTGTCTCACTGCAAAGATGATGAAAGTGATATTGTGGGTGGTGTTTGGAAATCAGAGGAGAGAAACTCAGCCCTTGAAGAGAGATGGAGTAAGAGAGAGCAGGCATCCCAGGACTAGCCATGGGTCAGTGAAAGCAAGTACTGGCTACCTACACTGACTACCCACTGTCACATGTGGGAGAAGTAGTGTAAAGCCTTAGTTCATGCAAGGATGCAGACATGGGCATAAGAGAAAGAGCTACCCACGTGTTTTTTGCAGATGCACAAGTAGATAGAAAGACACAAATGAGGACAAGTCATCACCTTGACTTCCAGGTTTCAAAACTTCTACAATTTAAATACCAGGATCATGAATGCAAAGTATTTTGGGGAAACAAATAATGAAGCTATTGAATGTCTACAGAGGAAGCAGGGTAGAACATGCTACATGCAGAGTAGGAATGTTAATCAACTGTGGTGATAAATGAACTGCACTGTGCTTTTCCTGAACACTAAAATTATGTTAGAAGATTTCGCCGATTTCAAGTTTCTCCCTTCTGCTTTTTCGCACTTTCTAATTTTCTCACCATGATCGTGAATGGCCCACGTGTAAAAGAAAAGGCATGTTTAAAGCTCTACCAAGAGTAAGTCTGCACAGATGAGTGGAAGTCACCGTGTGTGTCACACTCTGTGGGTGACCTTTGCTCAGAAGCAAAGACCAACTAAAGAGTCGTCTAGGCAAAGCTTTGCCATCGACATGGAAAACCAACCTGGATCACAGAGGCACTTGTAGCTGGTGCCCACGCTGCGACACGTGCCATGAGCACACGGGCTGAGGGCACAGAAGTCAACGAGCTGAGCACATGTTGGCCCTGTGAAGCCTGGGCTGCAGCTGCAGGTGAAGTGCACACCGTCCACGTAGCAGGTGCCATTGTTCTGGCATGGAGAAGACATGCAAGGGTCGACCTTCTCTTCACAAGCAGCACCGAAGTATCCTGCAAGAAAGCAAAGAAGGGCTTTAAATGGTTGAAACAGGGCTACAGATGCAGTTTAGTGGATAGAGTAAACTGCCTAGCACTAGGGAGGCAGAGGCAGGCGCTTTAGATGTTCAAGGCCATCCTCAGATATAGAGCAAATCTGGGAGCACATGGAATAGATGAGACCCTGTCTCAAAGAATAAAAATAATAAAAGATTAAAACATGTTTGCAAACAATAACTAATTCAGATATGTCACAACCCAACCCATTATGACCTATAAGATTGTTTATCATAGATTTGGGAACCCTATGATAAAATATCAAATCCTGGTTTTCTGTGCTTATTGAAACAAGGTATAAACACAAGATAGTGAATGGATGTACATCATATGTGCACATGGCAAGTGTAGGTTATATGTATTTATGTATAATCTAAAATATGCCAAAATAAGATGATTATCTAAAAGTATGATAAGATATAACACTAAATGTAAAAGAATGAAAACATGTAAAATAGTAAATAATGAAGACAACTCACCCATCTTAATCATGTCTCCTACTCAATTTCTTGAAAACATATAATACATTTAAGTATATAATTTCTAGATTATAATTCATCCTTACAAAATGTACAAGTCAGTGTTTTTAATGAATGCATCCAGGTGTTTAATCCAATGGATGAAATATGTTTATATGTATAAAAATATTCTGGGTAAACAAACATGATACCATCTGACCTTACAGTGCATTTATAAATAGTCACTAAGTGCTAGCATAAGCCACAAGACAAATGAGTCACCCAAGTATGACACTCTAAGAATGAAGACAGGTTCAGAAGACCATATAACATATAATGCCACTTAGTAGAAATGTCCAGGAAAAGTAGAAAATATAGAAAGCAGATGTCTGGTTGCTGTGGCTGAGGTATGAAGAGACTGAAGACAACAAACATAGGTGGCCCACTGCATTGAAGGGTATGTTCAAAAATGATCCATGTGAATAGTTGCATGCCTACATGGATTTACTAAAATTGCTGGAATATACCACTTAGAAAAATGAATTATAACCTAGAAATTATACATGCAAACATATTTTATGATATAATATTATGTAAAGCTGTTACATATTTTAATTTTAAATAAGATTATCAGATAAGTGTTTTGTATTGTTTCCTGTATACAAAATTTGGCATTTCTCAGGCCAAAAAATTTATATATATATATATATATATATATATATATATATATATATATGTGTGTGTGTGTGTGTGTGTGTGTGTGTGTGTGTGTGTGTGTGTATGCATTTCTGTACATCTCCTCAGCCACACAAGAGTATATATTTAACAGTGAAATGAACATAATCTTCTTTTAATAGCTCAAGACTAGTTTGAAAATTCATTAAATATTTAAATTTTAGAAATAAAAGTTAAGTAGCATTACTCATGCATACTTGTCCTTTAATATTCTACTTTTCTCATCTGTTTGTTCATATTTATACTAACACATAATTTCTTAATGATATTGACAACTTTTATAGTTATTGTAAGAATATACTGAATCTATAAAATCAACAAAAATAGTTCCACATTTAATTATCTGAAGCTCAACTCATAAGTGGGCATAATTGGTTTGGAATTGTTCTGAGCAGAAGCAGAAAAAAACTAAATGATATTCAGTATGTATAAACTTCTTTTAGCTTTTATATTTTAGAAATCGAACTGAAAATGTCATCTGCAGTCAGTTTTGATAATGCTTGAGTTCTCCAAAGAGCCTGTCAGAGTGGAATACTTTTCTATCCTTCATCTATTCCATTCTACACTGAGTACATCAACCAGATGCCAAGTCATGCCTCACTGAAGCTCACGGGAAACTGTGGCCAACACAAAATGGACTCCACATTTTTACTTTCTTGTTTACTTGTGCTTTTTATGATGCTTTGGTTTTTGTATTTTCAAGAGAGAGAAAGAACATGCATTTGGATGAATAGGGAGAGTTCAGTGACCTGGGAGGAGTTGGAATGGGGAAGAATACAGTCAAAATAAATTGTATGAACATTTTTAAAAACAAAATTAAAATAAGAAACATTAATGGAATTAAGAGACACCAAAAATTGGAAAAGCCTCCCATTTTACAGATTGGAAGAATTAATATTGTTAAAATATCTATACTGCCCAAAGTAACTTACAGGTTAATGTAATCCCCATGAAAATACCAACTACATTCACTAAAAAAGAAAAAGAAAAACGATCCCTGAAATTCATATGGAAGCACCAAAGACCCCATGTAGCCAAAGCAGCCTCCAACCTGATGAACAAAGCTGGATGTGACACAGTATTGACTTCTGGAAACACAGCCGAGCCGTGGTACCCAAAGCAGCATGGCACTTGGAAGCACGGTCCAATAAAACAAAGAGCAACTCCTAAAAACAAAGCCAAAAACCTATAGCCAACTGATTCTCAAAAAAGGTACTAAAGCATTCCTGAGCAGGCTAAAGGAGAAAACTAAAAATCCACACACAGAGGGCTGACATTGACCTATTTGACCCTGCCCCAAATCAACTCAAAATGAAGACAAAGAGAACTGTGTTCAGTTGCCACTTCTGCCCACTAATCTGTTAGACCCAGGGCTGGCACTGAATCTCACTGGTGTGTCTTGGCATTGAGTGGGATGTAGATACTGATGATGTTTACTATTTGGGCTTACTGTGGAGCTTGGATGCAAGCATAGTAACTCTCAAATATTAGGATTGGATGACAAGCAACCACATTTGTGTGTGACTGCCAGAGGCCATGTGGATGGCACCAGTACCGACTGCAATGGAAAACACAGGAGGGGCCCCTGCAGTTCGGGTTATGGGTCCAGCTGGGAGGATGGACACCTGAGGCATTTAGGAACCAAGGAAGAGGAGAAAGCTGCACCAGATTTTGAAAACCCTCTGGCTTTGATTAGCAAACTCTGCATTTCCTTCCATTGCTCAAGCCGTCGTTATCTCCTTATTCACATGGCATCCTTTCATAAATGATTCACTTCCTCCTCAGCTGCCCTACTAATGACCTTCCTAGGAGAACATGAATAAGATTTTGTAACACCAGTAATGAGAAGCCAAAAAGAGAAAAAACAATGAATTTCCTTATGAGCTGTCTGACCTTGGACAAAGCATCTTATTTTCAGTATCATTTTCTTACCTACAAAATGCCGTGGACTGCTACTAGGTGAGACTAAGTATTGTGACCCGCAGTGCCTAATAAACATTGGATTCGACTTCCTTTAAGCTGTGAGTCTTTTACTCTGTATGTATACTCAAGAGATTGTGTGTAGGGAAACTGGAAGGAAGCTGCCTGTTAGGCAATCTCTGGAACATAATCAAACTTCACATTTGCCCAGAGTCCCCAGGGCTGTATTTCTGAACACGGCTAAGGGCGCCTTCTGGAATCAGGAGGTGGTCACAGACAATGCTTTAAACACACGCAGTTACTGGGCCACCCTGCAAGGCAAAGTGTGTAAGCTCTTGGGATAACAGCTGTGGGAAGAGGTACAAGAATTACTCAGAAGAAAATCTCTTCATAAGTTCAATGGGAGTCTGTTGAAACCATGCTTACTCATGCAAACAGTTAGAAGTACTCTCACCCTTCCAAGGATTGTACTGCATCAATTCACTTAGAACTCATATAAACCCCATGAGTGCTGTTATTTCTTCATTTTCTAATGGGGAAGGAGACACAGGAAAATCAAGGACTTTGCCCTAAGGCACACAGCTAGAAAAGCCAGAGTCAGATTTGAACTCAAGATTCTCAAATCACAGTTCTGTTGTAACATTCAGTTACACCAGGCACATAGCAAAGAAGCCAGCAGTGAGAAGAAATGGTATCTGTCTGAACCCTCACTCATCGACTGCTTAACATAATAGCCATCTCCCAACTTCCTGCATTGTAGAACTTTGGCTCACACAGCTTCATGAAATAGTAATAATCCATTTCATAGCCTCTACTACAGTAATATATTGACCTGTCATTCTATTCTGGATAGTGAGATATAAGTGTAAATAACCTGAGGTCACATATGAAAAACTCCCTTAAGAAAAAGTTGGCATGTACCCTTCACTTTTAGTATTTTATCCTTCTGTCCTTCCTACCACCTAGACTACACACATATGGCTGAAATCTTAAATTCAATAGGAATTATCAATCCATGAATCAAACACAGAGAGGCATGCTTGCCATCTCAGTACTCAGGGGACAATCTAAGGGATGGAGCATCCATTTTGGCTCATGGTCTAAGAGCTCATGGTCATCAACGTATGGCAGTAGGAGGCAGCCAATCCCAATGTGCACACTCAAGAAGCAGAGAGGGATGTGTACCAGTGCTCAATGGGTTCTCTGGCTTCTTTTCCCTTTGATTAGATTGGGTTCTCAAACTATGTTCAGTGTGGTTTTTCCCACGTCACACTCACTGTAGCATGTGTGAACCTAAATGCACAGGAAAAATAAATAATTCTAAAACTATGCACAGGACAACAAATGGAATTCAGCTCTGTGGGGGTACTGTACCATAAATAGTAAAATAATAATAATAACTAGTAAACAGTAGTATTGCCCAGTACTTCATAGTCTCTTGCTCTCTGCACCATTCTTAGCCTTGGCTCTCTGTGTTAATCACCATCTACTGTAAAAAGAAGCATCGTTGATGGGATTTGAGAAATGAACTAATCTATGGCTGTAACAATCAGCCATTAGGAATTAGTTTTATACCATCTTCTTTTAGCACAGTAAAAGTAGTAGGTTCTCCCTAGGATCTAGAACCCGTCTAGCCACAGGCTCTTAGCCCAGATAATGATGCCAGGTAGTGGTTTCATCTTGTGGAACAGACCTCTTTTATCCCAATCAAAAAGTGGTTGATTACTCCAGTGACATTCATACCGCTATTGTACCAATATGCCTTTCTTTTCATGCTGGTCCTTATTTGTAGTTTGCAGGGATTACAGCTGCATAAAAGTAATGATAGCCTTTCTCCTCCAGCACTGTACAGAGCCACATCCAGCACTATGAAAGCTAGACATTAAGGATGAAGTTTAAGTATCAATATCAGCCTGATCTCTCCATGTTCTGTGATTTAAGTATATGCTGTCGTCAGCAATATGGTCCTACTATTAAGTTCTGTGATGTCTACATCATTCCATCCTCCTAAGGCTCAGAAATAATTGGGGGAAGGGGAGACAGAAAGATTGTAAGAGCTGGAGGTAGTGGGTGACTACAACAAAACGATGCTTTCCAGGTGCAACAGGAGAGTTGCACATATGAACTGTAATGGTTGTGACAGCATGCATAATACCTATACAAACTCAAGTCAGACAAAAATCCCTTCACTGAGGGAAAAGGTGGTCATGAAATCCCATCCAAACTGAGGAACTATGGACACTTGGAAAGCTGTCAGGAGAAGGCGTATTAGTGTTCTTTCACTGTGTGGCTCACCCAAGTTTGTATAGGCGACACTAAATGAACTCAGTGGGTGCATAAAGGAGAGTACAGAATTGAATGTGTATAGAATGGGGTGGGTCTGAAAAGAGTTCTGAGAGAATGAATGAGGTCCAAATATAACGTATGAAATTCTCAAAGAACAGAAAATTTTAAAGTAGCAATTCTGAACTACCAAAGATTAGCAAACTATATGAGATCAAAAATAGATTACCAACTTGGAGGTGATGAGAAAAGTGTTATTTGGATTTACAAGCCTCCTTAGGCAGAAGTAAACGAACAACTGTTTGATAATATCAACCAGCAAGTGCAAAGAGAATGACCACAGTGGCATCTCTTGTGTGCAATAGGGGGTTTCAAATTGTTCATGCCACAGGCATTAGAAAATGTTGGAAAAAAAAAAGTAGAACAGCTCCAGAGAAAAGCTCAATCCATGACATGTGCAATCAATGTTGACAGACAAATGATTCCTAAGGTATGTTACAAAAGAATAAAATTTGGGCGGGGGGAGATTATTCAAGGGCTAAAATGGAAGGTAAACAGACCTGCAGGGAAAACCTATCAGGGGATAACAGCTGATTTAAGAACAAGAAAACAAAAAAATATACTTTACACAGCCGACTCTGCCTTCAAATGTTGTATTTGAATCAATATTGATATGGATGTCTGCTGAATATGCATCATACAAATAAAAAGAAAATACGCTTAAAATACACATTATGAAAATCAGGTATTTAAGAGCAAAAGAAATCATTTCTGAGAATTTTTAAACTGCAAGACAATGAAGTCATTCTGTGTACTGTCGTGAATATAAATAGCTTTGCAATATTAGTGAGAGTAAATGAAATAAAGAAACGCGAGAATTGCACTGATACTATAAAGGCAACTCCCATGCAGGAAGTGATGTGTGTGAGCCTGGGAAACTGCCTGATGGTGCAGCCTGGTGAACTGTTCAAGAAACACCCGGGGGTCTTTCTAATTCTTTCCTTTGTGAACTCCCACATCCAGCCATCAGGGTGTCTTGCAGCTGCCATTGCCAAAACATAGCTCCCTGGCCACAACCCCAAAGTCATTACTATTTCTTCCTTGACATGTTTCCTCCGGCAAGACTCCTTGGTCCAGCTTAATCTTACAACCAATTTCCCACAATTTATGAGACTAGCTTTCATAAAATGCAAGTGGTGTCACCCTTCTAATCATCTTTAGAATAATATTGGACGTCCCTCCCATGGGCAGCATGTCCTGTGAGCATTAACTCTGCCACCCCGCCTGGTGCTTCATTCTCTAGCTGCCTGCCCTCATGGCTTCCATTCAGTTCCCAGAAATAGTACAGTAGGCTAATCCTAGAGCCTTGCTACCTTTCCGGAAGTTCTTGCTAGTTCCCTATATGTGTGTTCTCTCTCTTTCTCTCCCCTTCCTCCTCTCTCTGAAGGATGTCCATGTTCATGTGAATGTGCTTACCTCTGTGTGTGTGTGTGTGTGTGCGTGTGTGTGTGTGTGTGTGTGTGTGTGTTATGCATATGTGTGAAGACCACGGATCAACACTAAGTATCTTCTACCACTCTCTGCCGTATTTTTTTGAGACAGTCTCTCACTGAACCTGGAGCTCATTTACTCATCCTGGTTGACTGACCAACAAGCTCTAAAGATCCACCTGGCTCCACCACACCATACCCCTGGGGTGAGCTAACAGATCCTCACTATGGCGCCCAGCTTTTACATGGGTGCTGTGAATCCATACTAGAATCCTCATGCTTGCATGATGGCCACTTAGCTGATTGAGCCGTCTCCTCGGCTCCTTTGTACTCTCATTCTTGGCTCACATGGTAGCCAGGGCTCTCCTGATGACTCCAGTCTTATAGAATTTCTATCGCAACACCCAACTTGCTATTTTCATAGTATTTTTCCTATCCGAAATGACATAGCCATGCACCGGCTCATCTGCCATCTGTCTTTTCACCTTCAATGAGACCAGGGCCTTTCTGGAGAAGAAAAACATTGTCTCCCCTCATTGCTGAGTCTCAGCAGCCACAATACTTAAGTTATGAGAGGCACTGAGGAAATATTTGTGGAGTGAATGAGAGTAAGAATGAACACATGTGGGATGAGATTATATTCTAATAGAATCATTACATAATAGTCAGAGAAAGAAAGCTGATAAATATGGATTGGGTTTTAGAGATGACAATGAGGGACTAGAAAAAGGATGAATATTAGTCATCAGATATTACAGGGGTATAAATGAATAATCACTAAATCAGAATAAAGGTAGAAAGTTTAGTTCTGAGTTTGCTCTGGATGGTACAGCAAAGTGAGGGGAAGGTTCATGTAAGAGTCATTCCTCAGTGAGGGACCCAAAATACATGGGAGATGATGTTGGGAGATGCTAAGAGATGCTGGAGGGTTCTGGGAGATCCTGGGAGATAATGCTGGGAAATGCTGGGAGATGCTGCACTGTTTCTTCCTTCAGATACTGGAATGATTCCGGTCATACATGGAGAGTTGGAGGGAGGGATAAGCCAGGCTGTGGTTCTGGGGTCAGTAGGTGGCATCATCAGTGGCTCAAAAGAAGGGAGAGCTGGGCTTTGTGCTGGATCTTAAAGAAAGTCTGAGATTTGGATGAGGAAACAATGTTGGACTCAGAAAAGGGGTTTGACTAATGCGTACAGAAAAGTTCATGGTAAGCACATTTGTTCTCTTTCTAAAAAAGCAGACAATTGTGTGGGATAAAGAGAAGCAGGGGTATCTAGGAAAATCATCTACAGCACTATTAGATGTAAAAAATACAATTAAGGACGCT